AGATGCACTGAAATATTGGACTTAAAGTGCAGGTGTACCAGAGAACTGGCCAATGAGCCCAGTACCCATGAGGATGCTCAATCTGCTCTACTTATGCAATCCCTAAGTGTGTTCAAGTATTGTTTCCATACTGCTTGCCATGAAAAGAGACTTGTTAATTTTCTGCTAAGCCAAAACAAGATGTGCATTCAAAAGTCACTAAATAACCAAAAGGAAGCTTTTTCTGTATGACAGATGCTTTAGCAAAGAGGCTGAGTTGTCTTGGGCCTCTGGGTTGGGGAGTTACCTCAGGTCTTCTTTTACCTGGAGCCATCATGAAGTGAAGAGCACACGTCCTTGCCTTTGCTTCTGTTTCTGACGATTCTTTCCTGTTTAAGGTGAAGGCAAATTTGAATTATCTATGACCTTTCTGACCTTCAAAATTCCAGAATGGAGAGTCACCAAAGGTCTAGGAGCTCCAGCCAGCCCAGAAGCAAGGCCCAAGGAAAGACCTTCAAGAACCAGCCCATCACTGAGTCCTTGAAGAATGACCTTGAGTACTAACAGTGTCTGAAGCAAGGACTCAGCCAGCGCCTATGCCGCATTTGGAAGTAACTTGGTAGGGCATATGTTTATAGCAGCTGTGTTAAATCTGGAGATTGAGGTGATGTAATGAACAGTGTGCCTCAGGTAATTGGGGGGAAAGTACTTCTGTTCTTACTATTTCTTCAAAGTAAATTTCCCTTTTTAAAAACTAATTGATGCTAATTGGTTAAATGGAACAGTAGCTGCCTTAATTACTGGTGCCTAACAGTGAGGGAAAACACACTCAAATGGGGGCACCAGCTGATATCACCGAAGAAAAATATTCCCAACCCTTCAGGAGTACTCCTAGGACTGTGAGAGGGAGATGTAGCTGGCCTCCCTCTCAGAGAGTCGATTCAGACCTTCTCTACATGAGAATGGGGAGCAAGAACTTAGGTTCCTCCAGAGGACTTGTTAATATAACCAAGAAAGTTTTACTTTGAAAACTGAGAGTGTGGTACCCTGCGCCAGGGCCTAAGGTGTGAACCAATGCCATCCCACTACCCTATGAGCTGCTGTTGCTCCCTTTTGTCTCTGCACTAGCAAACCTAGAACTGAGCCTTGTAGTTTTATGGTTCTCCTTTCACATGGCTATCTAACTGCTTAGTTTTAGAGCACTGGAATTGGAGTCAAGAAGACCTGAATCTTGATCTAGCCTCAAATACTTACCAGCTGTGTAACCTTGGGAAAGTCATTTCAGCTATCTGGGTCTCAATTTCCTCAGCTGTAACATGATAGAGTTGGATTTGATGACCTCTAAATAAATTGATGTTTCTATGAAATATTCCTTTAGCCCCTTCCTGGCTGGTATTGGTCTTTAAATAAGAGTTGAACATTTTCCTGTTTTTATTGATTACCACCTGGCTCCCTCGTATTCCTTCTACTAACTGACATACACACCTCTCAGGTCACCTTTAGAGAAATAACTCTATTCATTATTCAATATTCAGGGTTTATTCCTTTCTTAAATGATTAAAACCACACAGTGCACAATGTCAACACAGCATACATATTTCCCTTTTATCCCTTTCTGCCTCTCTCTCTTTCATGATGTCTTCATCTCTCTCTGTCATTTTGAGTCTATCTCTGTCTCTCTCTGCCTTTACTTCTGTCTCTGTTTCTTTGTCTCTGTATATCTCTGTCTATCTGTCTCTTTCTCTTTCAGACGCACACACAAATAAAGGCAGGAAGGGGAGGGAGAAAAACGCCTGGATAAAACCATAAATCTAGTTATGACAGAGCATATATCAGGCAGGACTGAAAGAATAGCAGCAGAGCAGTTGCCAGACATTTCACAGAAGGCAATAACTAGAAAGTGGATCTCTAAACCAAAACAGAGAACAGAGGTTTGAAAAGGGTGAACTTGAGATTTTATTGTAAGAAGGTAAATAATTTTATAGGTCTTGCAAAGACCTGATGGGATGGAACTCATGACTGGAAACAGAAATTGAAGAACAAAACGTATTCAAGAAAAATGCATCTGAGAGAAAGGCCAGAATAATAGCACTGTCTGTAGAAAAATAAATAAATAAATGCACCCCTGTAAAAAAAATCATGAATCAGAAGAGCCAAGCACTGTGAAGATTTCTGAGAGGACTAAATGCAAGTGCAACAGTGATAATCTCATGACAGGTATGCTGTGGACTACCTGGCCAGATGAATGACATCAATAATGAGCTTCTGACCCAGATCACAAAAGTTGTCTGATGACCAGATACAGTGAAGATGGATTGCACCTACTTGGATATCTGCTGGAAGTCTGATTCTACTTAAGCAGGGCATTTGATAAATTCTTCAAGTTGAACAATTTTCAAGTTGAAATTGCTAACAGTTGCATCAAATGAAATTGCTGACAATTTTATCTCTTAGAAAGTAGAGGAAATAATGGGAAATCTTACTCTGGACCTATTTCAGACCCAACAAGAAAGAATTGCTTTAAGTCCAACTTAATAGCCACCTTCTTCATGATAATTCCCATGATCCCCTAGATTCCCATCTTCTTTCCATTTGTTGCTCATGTAGCATTCTGTTTATACCTCAATTATGCACTTACTATATGTAGCATTACCTCATTTATGTACTTACTGTATGTAACATTACAATTATTTGTCTATGTTCCATGTTCCCTTACTGGGCTGAGATAGACCACTCTTATTAGATTTCCATTTGATCCAAAGAATCTTCAGACCAGAAAATATCAAACAAACATGGGAACTTCAGCCTTGTGTAAGTGAAAAGATTTTAATAACTCACACTTGATAACAATTTAGTAACTCACATTTAATAATTTAATAACTCACATTTACATGGTACTGAAGGCTTACAAAACACATCCCTTTTAAGTCTGTGAGTATGAAGTGTAGGTAACATTACTCCTATTTTATAGTTGAGAAAACTGAGTCTCTAAGAGGTAAACATGGTCATATGGTGACATGGTTAGCAAGTGTCCTAAGTAGAATTTCAGCACCTAGCACAGTGTCTGGCACATAATAGCAACAAAATGAATATTTACTGATTGATCTATTGGGAAAGTGTAGAGAATGGGGAAGGTGCTAGAAGAAGGTGGACAGGTTTTTCCTAATTTTCAATAGGACAAATAAGAGAGATTCTCCAAACTAGCCACTCCTAAGGCTAAGCCATTAAGACTCCCCATAAAACAAAAGAACAATGAGGAAGTCAGAGAAAAGAAAAAAAAATCTTTGTAGTAATTATTGCTAATAAAGGTCTTCTTTCCAAGACATACAAGGAAGTGATTCAAATTTCAAAGAATAAGAGCCATTCCGTAACTAATAAATAGTCAAAGAATATGAGCAAACCATTTTCTAGATAAGAAATTCAGCCTATCAAAAGCCATGTAAAAATGATCTAAATCATTAGTAATTAGAGATATCCAAATCAAAGTAACTCTGCAGTTCCATTTCACATCCATCAGATTGGCAAAGGTGACAAAAAAGAAAATGACGAATACTGTTGAGGGCCGAGTCTGATATGGGTTTAAGATCCAGGGCAGAGTTTAACCTCTGCCCAGGCTTTTACCTGAAAGGGCTCAATGACTAAGAGGTTCGGCTCTCCAATCTCTCCCTGTTAGGAGGCTCCTGAGCTATTCCTTCTCAATCTTTGAACCTTAGATTTACACATTCACTCCTCTATGCAGGTGGCGCCAAGGCGCCTGTAAAAACCTTGGAAAATACAACCCAATCTAGGAAACCTGATAACGAATGGCAAAATACTAGAGAGGCAGTGGGAAAATAAGAACATTAATAACCTGTTGACAACACTGAAAATTAGCACAGCCATTCTATAAAACAATTTGGAGTTATGCCCCCAAAGTTATTAAATTTGAATACCCTTTGACCCAGTGATAATATTACTAATCTTAGATCCTAAAGAGAAAGAAAGAAGATAAGTATATGTACAAAAATATTTATAGCAGTTCTTTCTGTAGTGTCAAAGAACTTGTGACTAAGGTAGTACTTGTCAATTGAGAAATTATGTTATATGAGCATGATGCAATTATCATAGGATAAGAAATTGATGAAGGGGGTGGTTTCAGAGAAACCTGGAAATATATGTATGAACTGATACAGAGTGAAGTAAGCAGACCTAGGAGAACAACGTACACAATAACAACAACAACACTGTAAAAAAAAAAAACTTTAAAAAAACCTTAGGAATTCTGATCAATACCTGTAACCAGCCATGTTTGCAGATCAAAAAGAATTCATGCTACATACCTCCTTAGGAGGAAGCTAGGTGATGTAGTGGATAAAGCTTTGGCCCTGAAGAAAGACTCATCTTCCTGAGTTCAAATCTAGCTTCAGACACTTACTAGCTATGTGACCCTGAGCAAGTCACTTACTCCTGTTTGCCTCAATTTCCTCATCTATAAAATGAGCTGGAAAGGGAAATGGCAAACCACTCCAGTGTCTTTGCCAAGAAAACCCCAAATGGGGTCCGGAAGAGTCAGACATGACTGAACAACAACACACCTCCTGAGAAAGAGGTGATAGACACAATAGGTAGAATGAGATACAGATTTTTGGACATGAGCAAGTCAGGAATGTGTTTGATTGATTACATACTTGTTATAAGTGGGTTTTTTTTCCTTCCCTCCCCCCATGGTGGGATAGGATAGGAGGAAGGAAAAAAATCTGAATTTTAATTGAAAAAAAAATTTAATTTTAAAAAGAAACTAGGAGAGTCAGCTTTCAACGAATCCCCTTAACAGGTTAGAAATGTCACTTTCTCACCATTATACCCCCTACCCACCAAAAAAAAAATTTTAAATGAAAAATAAAAACCCACTAAAAAGAAAAGTTATTGTTACTATAGCTTCTGGCTGTGGAGCCATGCTGTTGTGAGGCTCTGGAGTCTCTGAGCCTACATTGACACTGACACTTTCAGTTCTGGTATTTTCCTGCTCCAGCTTCCCTCCCCACAGTCTCCTGGTATCCAAAGAAAGGGCCATATATCACTTCCCTTCTTCCTACCTGTTGAGGCTAAGGAATCATACGTTAGGTCTGATTCCACCTCATATGCTTTCCAAGGTTGATAAGCTCCGAGTCACTCCAGAGTAATTACTAATTATGTTCAGACCATGGAGTCTGCCTTCTCCCTAAAAACCAAGAAGTCCTTCTGATTATCCAGCCATAACATTCAGTCTAAACTAAACTCAAAGGAGTCTTCAATACTCTGATCCCCTAAACCAGAGGTTCCCAAACTTATTTGGCCTACCACCTCCTTTTCAAAAAAAATTGCTCAGTGCCCCCTTGGAAATCTACTTCCTTTAACCCTTTAATAGTCTTTTTTTTAATTGGCATCACTTCAAAAAATATAAAATATATTTTTTAAATGACACATCTTAAATTTAATAATTTATTATAAATTTGTGGGGGTTTTTCCTATGTTGAAATTTTGATGATGCACTATTGCATCATGCAACCATATAGTTTCATATTGTAAACAAGGCATTACATGCACATGTCCTGTCGATGCATGCTGGACCTCCCAACAATGCACGACATGCTTACCTGCCAACACTTGGTTGTTAAGACCTGTCAGCAGACTTTACCATTGATTGGTTATAACTTGCATTTTGTGTGTTTATTTGGAAAATAACATAACCACTATGACTTTAACTCTGTTTCACAACAGATGAAACATGTACGAACTGTTTTTCAAAATTTTCTTATCTTCTCTTCTTTCCTTATGCTTCCACTGCCCCTTTATTTTTATTCAATGCCCCCTCCAATTGCACCTGAGACCGCTACTGGCCCCTAGTGCCCCACAGGCAGTGGTATCATGCACTTTGGGAACCTATGCAGACCAACCAAAGCCCTAAAGTATGATCCAAGCCCTAAAGAGTTGCCAGTAGAAAAAGCATCGCATTTGAGGTTAGAGAACTTGGGTTCAAACCCCATCCCAAGCATGACCTCAGATCAAGTCATTTAACCTCCCTGGGTCTCAGTTAAATCATAGGTAGATTGATGGGCCTCCGAGGTCCCTTCTAGCACTAGAGCTATGATTATATGATTGATAAATCGTGGGGTGGTTTTCCTGCCACCCTCCACTTCTCCCCTCCTCCCACTAGTCTGGGGTTTGTCTCTAATACAACTTTTCCATCCCCTTTAACATTCTACTGTACCATGCTGCATGTTGTGCCCTTTTGGGGTGAAGCCACAGCTCCTTTGGTGTTAAGTTATGGCCTCTACATTGGACATCATTGGTGTAAGGAAAGCAAGGAATATGTAGTAGACACATTAGTGTGCCTTGAGTAGGAGTGGACCCAGGGACTCCCTGTAGTCATGTTCACCATGGGAAGAGATCCACTTAGCTTTGTGCAGGGAGAGGAGTCTGTAGACAGAGAATTCCAGAGATCTAGAGGGAAATCTGAAAGAGATTGGTTGGAACACTTCTGGAAAGATCATGGATGAGATTCTTATAGGATAATGATAAGATACGATTAGACTATAACTTGCAACAGTGAAGCAAATACCCACATCAGTGAGATCACAGGTCCTTCAAAGCACCCATATGATTGATGATAAATGAATGATTTGAGAATGAGTGCTCCTAAAGAATGTGGTTTCTACATTTGCTTTATGAGTCCATTTATGGAAGGGCACATGTTAGAGTGCAATGGCCTTCCTGTCAGCTCCACCCAGCTGTGGTGCTCCAGTCCCAGTTCCTTCCTGTCTAGGTTTGCCTGTCTCCTCATGAGGCTTGTGCAGCAGGTAGCAGTGGCATGGTGTGCGCTGATCTTTCTGTATGGCTCCTCCTGTGATTCTTCTCACTGTGCCCACGCTGAAAACACAGAAATACATTGCTGAGTCTTGCAGCTGGGAGGCCAAAATGGTGAAAGTGATGGATTTGTTTACTTTCTGGAAGTTCACCAAATATCGATCCTCGGTTGCATTTTGTTGGTTATAAGAATTCTGACGGATAAGGAAAATCATCTCCCCGCTGGGAAGCTGTTTGTACCAGAATAGACCATAATTAGTTTCACTGGTGTCATACTTGCAGCTCAGGGTTACAGCTTCCCCCTCTTGTCCAGTCATTGATGATTGCAATTGAGTAACTTTCTTGCCTATACTGTTCCCTACAGGCAAAAATAAGACAAATAAGAATCGGTCGTCAGACATTACAAATAAAAGCATTATAGAAACATTGCAATTTAGGACTAGGGAAGTCTGGTGAAAGAATCCATTTTATTCCCATCTTCCTTCCCTCTGACTGTCAAGACCTCTTGACAAATGCAAACCAATGATCCTCCCTCCCTCTCTCCACCCCTCCAAGTCCCTAGACCTTAAAAGATAGCTCAGCCACCACGTCCAGGGTGTACCTTACCAAGGATGACAGATGCCACAGTTGCCCACAGCAGACTGGAGAGCAACATCTTAGACAAAATGTCTCTGGCTCTGTCCTGAAGCTCAAGCCTTAACCTTCCTCTCTGTATCTGCAGTACCTCCTGTAGAGTCCCTGGGGCCTTCTGATGCTGCACATTCATAACAGGAAATGGGGCTTCTGGTTGGCACAGATTTACATCACTCACACCATACATCCCCCTATATAGCCTGGGAGAATCTAACCCATCCTAATGCTCCATCTAGATTCTAGGCATGTTGGCTTGCTTTGGAAATTGAATTCTATGTTTAGACCTGTCAGCAAACACGAATACACTTTAATATTGAAGATAAATAGAAGTAGATTAATAAATCAACTATTAGATTTGTTCAGCCAATTAATCTTGGACAGGAATTGAGAAGAGGTAATAAAAAACAACACATTATTAACATTTCCCCCCTTAATATCCAATCTTCATTCAGCTCACACATACCTTCTTTTCTCTGCTTAGAATTTAATGTGACTAATAATTATTAATAACAATGTCATTTATAGAGTTCTTTGAAGTATGCAATGCACTTCACAATTATCTCTTTTAATCCTTACAACAACCCTGGAAGATAGATACTATTATTTTCCCCATTTTGCAGACGAGAAAACCAACCAGGCAAGGCTAAGCCACTTATCTATGGTCACACAGCTGGTAAATGTCTGTGACTAAATTTGTGACTAAATCTTCCTGATTCCGAGACCAGCACTCTTTCCACTGTGCTACTCTTTGGTTTTCGTAATGGAAGTCAAATTTATTCCCCTTGAACATATAGATTCCCATATGAATGGAATATGCTTTACATTTAATAAGGTTGCATTTGTATCTAATATCACGAAAAAAATCCTCCTGATTCTCAGAATCTTCTGAGTTGCCTATATTCTTAATGAAAAATAGCAGGAAAAACACATAGTGTAAAAACTTGACTTCCCACTTTGTTTGATTAGAACCTGTGGGAATTTCCCTTTGCAGCACAGGGGCAACATAGCAAACACCTGTGACCCAGGGTTTGCATCTCCAGCACAGGGAATGAGGCTGCAGCCCCAACTAGAGGTTGTCTCTAGAGGCTGCAGGTGTCTGGATAAAACTCATCTGTACAGTATAGCTACCTGAGAGTCTCTACATCAAGGTGCCATTGCAGAGGAGGCTGTGATGGCTAGTTATATTGAGCTCAGAAGTTAGTCACTTTCTCTTTCTTAATACAAGGGCATTCTGAAGGCAGCTCAAACTGGCCCACTAGGGCCGGTTGTAAAACTTTCCACATGAGCATTTACACCTCAGAAATGGGCAAATGCTACAAATCAGGGCTTGATCAATTGTTTTGTGATTGTCAATACTTAATAAAGCTATGGTGAAAGCAGCAATAATGAAGATTAAGCTGAAAAGTCCATCAGGAGTCAATTTTTTCAGAGAATTGGTTGTTAAACATTTAATAGCACACCATTATATAAATATATGGAATAAGTAAAAGAAATAAATAAAAGCCCTTTTCCAGAGACTTATTCGGGTCCTGAAGGCCAAATTTAGACTGGTAAGTATGAGAAAAAAAAATCAGTAATTGGAGGATGATAATGACTGAGATCATACCAAATCACTGGGAAAAGCAATGTTAGAGGGCTTTAATGTGGGGCTGCAATAATGGGTCAAGCAAGAAGGCTTAGCAATCCTTGTGTTCAGGATATATTTAAGATTCAAATGAAACACAAACATAATGCTGAAGTGATAGCAAGAAAGCAGAGCTGAGGAGAAATGGGACTGGAAATAAAAAGAGTTTTTTATAAATTTACCATTTCCTGATTAGATTATTCCACGAATATTTGGAAAGGAGATCTCCATCAAGGTATGGACCTGTATTTATAGCCCTTTCCCAAGAGCTGTATTTCTGAACAGCTTCAAGGGAAGGAAAGGGAAGTTACAGAGGAGGAATGATGGCCCCAAGGCCTTAAGAATAAAGTTACAAAGTGGTGACTGAGGTCCCTACCACCCCAATGGTATAGACTTGAAAGGCATTGAGCTAACAGGTCACAGTCATTCTGTTTAGTGAATTACCATTAAGTCAATTTGAGTTCCCTCTGCTCTTTCTGTGCTCTATCTAACTACAGCTATTGGGCTTTTAAACTCAATTCCTTCAGTTTTCAGAGGTACCACAAGGTGTATCTTGTGAATATTTCCCCTGGGACACAGAGGAGTAACTATGGAGTAAGTTAAGGCTCATATCAAAGTCATGAGAATCCTGTTTCCCTTAAATACTCCCATGCCCCATTTCCCACTCTCAGTAACTACAGCGTTTCAGGAGCTCAGAAGCAGTGACAGGGTTTGTCTGGGGTTTATCCAGCTCCCTGGAGATGTCTCAGAACAAGACTCTGAGGAGAAACTCAGGACCCCTCCTATACCTCTCAGAGTTTATGTTCAGCTCTCCTTACAGTCCCTGTCATTGCACTATAAAGAGCACAATAGTATGCTACTGAGGCCACCATTTGGACAAATGCCTTCAGAACTTCGTTGAGGATACTGGACATGCCAGAAAAGAAAAACAGAATAACTGGCATTGCAAGAGCAGTTCAATGTAAGTGTACCCTTTCAGCAATCGTGAGATAGCCTTCCGTCTGGGTCACTCAATATCCATTGGTGCTTCCTAAAAGAGAAAAAGAAAATGATTATGATGAAATTGGTTATGTAACAGAATAATCTCCAGCGGGCTAACAGGCTAAAAATGCTCAAGGCCAGACCAAAGGAAATGACTAAAGCTTTGAGTGAAATGACAACTCACTGAACATTAGCAAGACCACAAGCACTGAACCTGGAACAAAGTTCATGGCTAGTTGAGGAGAAAGGAGAATGCTGAGTTTTCCTCCTAGAGGGACACAAAGCTCAGAAAGTCCTATGCTCCAGCCTTAGGTTCTTGGTTCGCTCTGCTGAGGACTTGAAGGTTCATGTATTAGACCTTTCTTTTCTATAGTTTGTCACAGTTTTGAATTAAAAGGGGGTGTTTTCAGAGTTGTTGTTCATCCTTCATTCTCGAAGAGGACCATGTGTTCAGAGAAGAATGCATTTGTGCAAATGACCTGATGGATCATGATACATATGTGGAAACTATCGCCTTCTTGTGGACAAGATAATAGCTTGGGAAAAGAGATTCAACTGAACAGACATGAAGTATCAATCAAAGAATCAACAAGCATTTATTAAGAATCTACTTTGTGCCAGGCACTGTGATAAGTGCTGAATATATAAATACAAAGATCATCTTATTCAAAGACTAGCTGTAATTTCCAGAGTGGGATAGAAAGATACACAAAACGCAAGCCCTATCCTCATTCAGCTTATGCTTTAGAGAAAGCACATCCAGTTTTCTGAGCTCTTGCCTTGCAATCCCTTTTCTCAACTCAATTCTAAAAGCTGGAAGAGTGTGGGGAGGGAGGGAAGGTGGGATAACAGGCAGCTATAGGAGGTTATAGTATGGGGTTTTTTTAGGGGGAAAGTGAGGTTACCAGAGTAAGAAATTGGAAAGACAAGGCTTGTATCCTTCACACATTTGCCTAAGACATCCTTTGGGTGCCATATACTTAATAATCCCTTTAAAGCACGTGTGTATTCATCTATTAACAACAGCAGCAGTAACAACAACAATATAATCATTGTAATATATCTGTGTCCAAAACTTTTGCCTGCACTATCTATAATTTAGTCAGCTATGCCACGAGAATCAATAACAAGACATTTATACAGCATTTTTAAAGTTGGCAAAGAATATTATCTTATTTGTTCTTCATAACAACATTATTGGATATTATAGGTATTATTATCCGTATTCTATTAGAAAGTAAACTGAGTTTTAAGGACTTGCCAGTAGTCATGCATTAAGTGTCAGAGTGAGATTTGGAGACAGGTTTTCTTTTCTTTTTTTTTTTATTATGTCTTCCTTCCTCCCTCCTCACCCACCCTCACTGAAAAGGCAAGCAACTTGATAAGGTTATACATGTGTGGTTATGCAAAACACTTCCATAGTAGTCATGTTGTGAAAAACTAACTATATTTCCCTTAATCCTATCCCACCTCCCATTTATTCTATTCTCTCTTTTGACCCTGCCCCTCCTCAGACTTGTTTGCTTCTAATTACCCCCTCCCCCAACATGCCCTCCCCTCTCTCATCTCCCTGCTCAATTGCCCCCTTCCCACCCCCCACTTTCCTGTAGGGTAAGATAGATTTCCATACCCAACTGAGTGTTTATATTATTCTCTCCTTAAGCCAAATCTGATGAGAATAAGATTCATTCATTCCTTCTCACCTCACCCCATTTCCCCTCCACTGTAAAAGCCTTTTCTTGTCTGGTTTCTGTGAGATAATTTACCCCATTCTACCTTTCCCTTTCTCTTTCTCCCAGTATAATCCTCTCTCACCCCTTAATTTTGTTCTCCAGATACCACCCCTTCATCTTCAACTCGCCCTGTGCCCTCTATCTATCTATCTAACTATCTATCTACATACATATAATTTTTCACTCCCACTACCCTAAAACTTACAAAGATCTCATGAGTTACAAATATTATCTTTCCATGCAGGAATGTGAACAGTTCAACCTTAATAAGTGTCTTGTGATTTCTCTTTCCTGTTTACCTCTTCATGTTTCTCTTGAGTCTTGTATCTGAAAGTCAAATTTTCTATTCAGCTCTGGTCTTTTCATCAAGAATGCTTGAAAGTCCTCTACTTCACTGAATGTCCATTTTTCCCCCTGGGTAGGCAATTGTTGGTTGTAATCCTATCTCCTTTTCATCCAGAATATTATATTCCAAGCCCTGCCGTCCCTTAATGTAGAAGCTGCTAAATCTTGTGCTATACTGATTGTGTTTCCACAACACTTGAATTGTTTCTTTCTGGCTGCTTGCAATATTTTCTCCTTGACCTGGAAACTCTGGAATTTGGATATAATACTCCTAGGAGTTTTCCTTTGGGCATCTCTTTCAGGAGGTGATCAGTGGATTCTTTCCATTTCTATTTTGCCCTCTGGTTCTAAAATATCAGGGCAGTTTTCCTCGATAATTT